CCCCGGGCATTGTTCTCTCCCCCTCCCCCCGCAACAAATGTTCCCCGCATACCAGCTGTCTCACAGTATGGACACCTTGGTCGATATGGAAACCTTGGTCGGTATGGACACCTTGGTCGGTCTTGCCGCTTGGTTAGCTACTTGCCTTTTCGGCTGGCGTATCTCCGTCCCCTTTGGCTAGAGACGTAGCTGCGTCTTTGAGAAGTGTTTCAAGCAGACGGTCTTTAGGCATATTTCGGCCTTGGAGTCGGAAGCTTGAGGACAATTCGTGAATAGAGATCGCTGCGATTAGGGGAGCAAGTTTGCGGCGGATGCTGAAAACATTTTGCCAGATTCCGCCATGACGCCAAAGCGTTCCATAGCGTCCTACGAGTTTCATGCGCACTCCCTCAGCCGATAAGTCGTACAACTCCTCGACCCAGGGGTCAGCTGTAGGCCCTTCCAAGGTGGAAGTAGGCCCTTCCAAGGTGGAAGTAGGCCGTTCCAAGGTGGAAGTAGGCCGTTCCAAGGTGGAAGTAGGCCGTTCCAAGGTGGAAGTATCTAGCCTCCCAACCGGGTCGTTCTCAATAGATTTTCCATAGCTTATTGAGGGGGTACTGAGGTGGTAGCGTTTCCTCAAAAAAGCTTGAACGCTTCTGTCTCGAACCTTGTCAGCCAACATGTCCAGTGGGCAATGGGCAATGATACATCCCGGGTCCTCCGGCGGTGAGTAAATGGACGCCAATCGAACCTCGAACAAGTAGGTCCCCCTGTCCGCGTCCGGACGGCCGCTGAGTCGATTCTCGTCGCCATGGGCAATAGAGTCGCTCCCTGGCGGCGTACTTAGGGCAACGCACACAGGCGGTTTTAGGTGCAAACGACTCAACCTTTGCCCGTCTTCGAAAATACCGACCGTCACCGCCCAACCAAGAACTTTTTCCATTGCCGCATGGGTCAACTCGCGGAGACTTTTAGACTCCAAACGACTCCTCTCAACCCGTCGTGACTCCCCGCCTCGACCATTCGATTCCTGCCAACCACCTACCCCCAGTTCGGTCCTCCTGTCTTTCTCGGCTTTCCGCTCTTTCTCGGTCCACGCTTGTCCTTGTTCGGTCCTAATGCCTTCCGCCCTGATGTCTTTGACACTAACGGCCTCCACAGCCGCCGCTCGGCTAGCAAGTCTCTGCACCTCCGAGATCAACTGCGCGATTTCATTCTCTTTCTCTCGGAGCATAGACTCCTTATCTGCAATAACTGCCTGAAGAGCGGCCTCCTTTTCCTGAAGGGCAACCTCTTTATCTTTTACAACAGCCTCTGTGTCCTTCAGAGCATGCTCCTTGTCTCGGAGGACACACTCGTTTGCCTTGAGCGCAGTCTCCTTGGCTTCAAGAGCACTTTCTAAAAGCTTTATATTTTCTAACAAAACGGCAACTTTTTCCGCAGCTTCCAACGCCGATCTTCCACCTCCAGCGGCATCCTCACTGTCCGCAGTGGTGGTCAGGGTCCTCATACACATTTCCTGTTGTTTCTTCAAGCCGGCGTTCTCCGTGCTGAGCTCTTTGATCATTCTACAATCAACTTTTTACACAAGGAAACTGTCTGGCTGGGAACCAATGGTCTGCTTACGTCTGCAATTGGCCGTGTGCCGCACCAAGCCGGTTGTACTGACGGATTAAATTTCGCAGTTGCTCTTCTCGTGTTCTCAATAGCGTGTTCTGGGCCACTGCCTTATCAACGTGCTGGGAGGGTGTCTTAGTATCGCGATCCCCGCAAGGTCCTTCCCAGCGTTTCGGCCGTTCGGTCTCAGTGTTGACAGCAGGCTCAAGCTGCTTGGCCGTTCTCCTATCGTCGTTATGTTCGGAACCATGACAGCAGTCAGAACCATGACAGCAGTCAGAACCACGACAGCAGTCAGAACCATGACAGCAGTCAGAACCATGACAGCAGTCAGAACCATGACGACCATGGCAGCAGTCGACATGACGGGCATACGGCGGAGATCGGGAGTTAGCAACATGGTTAGCTTCCAGCTCTATTCCCTTTGATTGAGCTGGTCCTTGTTCCGAAAGTGGTCTTTGTCGGAGTTGCGCTTGTAGGTCGAAAATAGTTTCCTTCAATTCCCGGTTGTTCTCTTGTAACTTTTCATACCTCTTAGACCACGCAACTTTTATTCTGAGCATGTCCGCTTTTGCTTGCTTCTCAAATCGGTCCATAAAGGTTTTGAATCGGCTCTCGCTTGTCATCTCCTGACTGGCACACGTGCTTCGATCAATAGAGTTTACATCCGGGTTATAAGGCCGGTCTGGTGGTCCGGGAAAGAGTTGCAGGGGCAACCCCTCACCGGTGCCTAAAGACTGTGGAGGTCCGGAAACGGACCGAGAGGAAGCGCCAGTCCCTCGCATTCGATACGGCTCTGATTGCTGGCCAGAAATAGTTTGCTGTCCCCTCGCCCTTGTCACGGGTCCGACTTGATCGAGCGGCATGGGTCGAGCCCGGATCAAATTTAGGCGGATCAAATCAAATAACCTGTATTTAAAGGTGAGTTGTATTTCCTGTTCTGGATTGGTTGTATTTACGTCGTACAAGACAGTGCGTGTGTAAGACAGTGCGTGTACAAGACAGTGCGTGTGTGTGTGTGTGCTCCTAAGAAGGACACATTGTTAGACGCATTACCGTGTGTTAGATAGTGTGTAAAATATCACCCCAAGTTTACTCCCTCCCTCCCTCGTGTGAGTGAGTTTGCTTTGTGTGTGAGATGTTGCACGAATTTATTTGGTGGTTGCCTTGTTGGTTGTCGCGTGTGGGGGGTGTGGTGGTGACGTCTGAAGTTGCGTCATGGCGTGAGTACGACTACATTGTGGTGGGAGGTGGTGGTTCAGGTTGTGTGGTGGCTCGTGAGTTGAGTGATGCTGGTTATGAGACGTTGTTGATTGAGCGTGGGGATGTTCCAAGGAACGGCGTGTCAAATTCTTTGTTTGGTGTGCGGGATGCGTTACGCGACCCGAAGCTATCACAGCCGGTGATAACGGTGGATGGTACGCGCACGCATGTTAGTAACGTGTTGGGCGGTGGTACGGCGGTGAATTTGGGCATTTGGATTGAGGAGAATCAAGAATATTTTGACGCGCTACTTGAGTACTTGTATACGGTTACGGGTGAAACGGAGATCATGAAATGGCAGAGTCTGTTTGCGGGTATTGATGAAGCGTATGAATGGCTAAGACTCCAGATCACGGGCACGGAACAGGCGCAATCTACCACCGGTGGGAGTAGCACCACGGCGCCATCCGACCTGAAAGGATTGGATCAAAAGTTGACGAAATACGCACATCTTATGGAGAAGGTATTAGGTGACTGGTTCGGGGAATGGTTAGGAGTCCAACCGAAGCTTACCCCGGGTGCAAGCTGGTCCGCTTACACTGCGTTCAGCGACCAATACAGCCCGTTTCCCAATGAGACGACCGGATGGAAACCAAGAAGACGAAGGACCGCCGCTGACCTTGTGCTGGATGCTAACGATCACCTTACTGTGCTAGTGAACACTACCGTGACGGCAGTGCTACCTAAGCGACTATACATACCTTCACCAACCCTGCAACAAGACCATATTATCAGTTGTGTAGAATACCACCAAACAGGCGTCCACGAACCAGGCCTTGTCGGCTCCATACGTACGGGACCGAGTGTAGACGGATTGAATGTTGACCTGATGAGTGGTGGCCAACCTGCTGCCGTAGCGCAAGGCAGCTCGCTAGGTTGGCCTAGCAGCAAGCAGTCTATGCTGAGTCGATCTGCTGCACATATAGCCGCACTTAAGAGTTCGAACCGTTATGGCGTGAATGATGTAAGTGCCGGAGTGAGTCCCGTCATCCCACGACGTACATGTCTCAAGGGCACGCAAGGACAGATCGCAGCAGACCCTCTTGGCCTGTTACGACACTCATCCGAAAAACGACTACATGATGGAGAAATCATACTTTCCGCTGGCGCTATCTTCTCACCCTGGATACTCTTCAACTCTGGCATCGGGCCCAAAAAATTCACAAACCGTCTTGGTGTTATCAATTATGTAGATAATCCTTGGATTGGACAGAACCTCCAAGATCGACCCGTCGTCGGACTTTCCATTGAACTCAGAACTGATGATGCACCAACCGGATCAGGTGGAGTAAATGATGACCATGCCACTGATCTCGGCTTACTTGATCTCCGACTTGCCGAGGCCATGGTCGCACACTCCACCGCTCTCCCCCTTAAAGAAGATATTGAAGAATCAACTGAGCTTTTTAACTTTGGATTCAACCCCAGGCAATTTCAACGAAATCAGAACCAGGCTCTGGACCAGGCTCTGGACCAGGCTCAGAATCAGGCTCAGAATCAGGCTCAAAATCAGGCTCAGGGCGACCGAGGAAACGTCACCGAGACCGATCGCGACTTCCAGTCTGTTGGAGAGGAGCAATTCGACCATGATACCTTCGACACCTACAAGCAATACCGGATCCGGAGTCGGGAAAAGCGACTCCGCCGCCTCATTGAAATGGGACCAAATCGCTACAGCGGGAATACCTACGGCGGTAATGGCTACAACGACGCGAATGGCTACGGCAGGAACGCCCCGGTCCACAGTGAGTCCGGTCCCGTGGGCTCCGGAGTGTATAACCAGAGTCGGTTCCAGAGTCGTCGGTTCCAGAGTGGTCGGTTCCAGAGTGGTCGGTTCCGGAGTGGTCGAGATTTTGCGTCAGTGAGTAAGGCGTTCAGTCGGCCTATTCTGAACCCGCGATACTACTCGAATTACTGGTCGCCGGCCTCTCTGTTCCATCGACCGACGATGGGCTTCGAAGATATTTACGGAGGCGACGTAGTTGAGGGTATCCTGGCCTCAACACGTGTGATCTTTCCGCCAGAATTGCGGAATACACCGCTGGTCGATTACATCGTCGACGTCATTTCCGCTTGCGGCAACGAGAGACGTCGCGGTCGGGAAGAGGCGCTTCGAACAGGTGTGGGAACGAATGCGCAAAGTGGTCTAGGTGTTGAGTCGTCTTCTCCGAGAGTGAGTTTACCTGGGTTGAATTCACTGTTGGGCAACATTGTTGCGAGTCCGGAAGTGGCATCATCTTTGGCATCGTCATCGTGGGCAGGTCACTTGTCTGGGTTTAACTATGGCATGTCAGTGGGTGGTGAGGAGTCACTGACAGCGCTGTGTCGGTATACAGATGCTGTGCGCGGATGTATGGCAAATCAGGCGGTATGGTTTACGTTCTTGACACATGTGAAAAGTCGGGGTAGTGTAGGAGTGGGTTTCGATGGACGCATGGTAGTGGACCCAGCGTTTCTGGCGGACGAAGGTGATCGACGTGAGATGGTTCAGAATGTGCAATCGATGTTGCAAATGCTAATACAGTACTCCGGATTATTAAGTGACATCTTCCAACCCATAACTCATAGTCAGTGCCCTGCACATGACTTCAGTACGGAAAGCGCCATCGCAGCTTCCCTTTCTTCCATCATGAATGCTGGTAGTGTGTCACCTACATTACGCGCACGCAGTACCAGTGCGCGACGTGATGTATCACGGAATCAACATATTCCGTTCGCGACAGAACCACAAGATATGCCCGACGTAGATGACCCTCAAAGTGTACTCACGTACATACAAAATCATGCTACTAGTATGTGGCATCTAGTCGGCAGTATCTCACTTGGAGTTGTGCTTGACGATGAATTCCGTATAGCCGGAGTCCAGGGACTCAGTGTCATAGATGCCTCTGCCCTGCCTATACATACTCGGATGAACCCTTCCAGCACCGTTATGGCTGTCGCCAAACTCGCCGCCGATTACAAACTCCGAAAAAGAGTTGAACGTCGCACACCCTCTTTTTGACAACCCTTTTTTTTACAAAGTCCAACGCGATTAAGTAAGCACCAACACACACCTCCATGGACAGTGAGCGGTGGATGCACAGTGCACGGAAGGGAGGAGCACGATAGGGGGGAGACTGTCCCCACATGATAGGGGGGGGGGGGAGACTGTCCCCACATGATAGGGGGGGAGACTGTCCCCACATGATAGGGGGGGGGGGAAGACTGT